GGAAAAAAATGGAGCAAACCGCATAACATTTCAGGGTATGGACGAAACACAGACTTATTTTCTTTGCAATAGAGTACAACAATGAAGAACTAAAAGATCTAGTACAAAATCCAAGGGAGTTACGGAGGGACCTAGAATAGAGCGCGTGTTATTATTCAGAAGAATATGCGAGGATAAGATTTTAAAAAGTGAAGGTGCGAACATCGTTTCATATGAAGCACGTAAAGTTACACATGTACTGAGACACTCATTACACAGCAGCACAATACGGGATCGTTCCTTCACATTGCACACAACCACATTTCAGTCCCAATGACCACATAAGATGCAAATAATAATCAACCACTGTGCTGCGCAGGCGCTTTGAGCGATGGTCTCAAAGCTGTTAAATGGGCAACGGACTACTTCATCAAGGCCCACGTTAGTGCCAACGTATTGTATGGACAAGTGGGTGAGGGAGGCCCAGACCACGCATACTGGGGACGTCCAGAAGACATGACTATGAGCAGACCCGCCTACAAGATCGACACGTCGCACCCAGGTAAACTTACATCAAGGTGCGTCTTTCATACATCTAAGCATCTCTCATCCGTTGGACACTCAGCGACCTGTGAAACATATCCTCGCATCCTCAAATTTCACACCTTCGGTTGAAAGACATTTCGCAGATTCAGCTGACCCTCACAAGTTGATCTGTCAAGCTATTCCAAAGAACCGTCTCCAAGTACAGAAAGCCCCAATACACGTATAACTGTAATTTGTTATCCAACAGCAAACTGAATTATGTATTTCTCCAGGTTCTGACCTGGCCGCTGAAACTGCGGCTGCCCTCGCTGCAGCTTCTATCGTGTTCAAGAGCAGTGACTCCTCTTACGCCAACACCCTGCTCACTCATGCCAAGCAGCTTTTTGACTTCGCCAAAAATTATCGCGGCAAATACAGTGATTCTATCACCGATGCGCAGAGTTACTATGCGTAAGTGTACTCTATTATCTACTTCAATTGCAAATTTATAATGCTTCACGCATTAACACCCACAGTAACAGCAATCTTAGTTCAAGATATTGCAGTAAATACCTGACACAGTTAAGACTACCTACACAGAAACAGAGCTCTTAGTTACGACCCAGATATAAACATTAAAACATCGACACAAAAGTTTACTTATTCCTATTCCTCATAACAACACTTCTATAACGAAAAACATTTAATTTTTCCATCAACAGTAATAGTACAGGTTACTGTACAATCCACATAATCGAGATATATACAACAGTACTAGTACCAGGCTCATAAAGGGAAACACCCTGTAACACAGTGAGATGTCCTTCCTTCCTGAAACTTATTTTGTTGCACTCAATTGCTGAGATGATTCCTAATTTCAGTGGGGTTAGGTGTTTTGATCATGACATGGCGTACCGAACCACACTATTTCGCAACCAGAGACGCCGTATACTTCAAAGTCAGGGCTCTCAGAGCCACTAGTCTGACATTTATCCTGCTATCTTACAGGTCTGGAGATTACAAAGATGAACTGGTATGGGGAGCCGTGTGGCTGTATAGGGCAACCAACGACAACAGTTACCTGACCACTGCTGAACAGCTATATAACGAATTCGGCCTCCAGAACTGGAACGGTGGATTCACCTGGGATTCCAAGATCTCTGGTGTAGAGGTCAGATAACTTGAGAGGTTCACAATCCCCGTCCGTCTGTCACTAACATCACGACTTATTTCAAACGCATTAAATCACAGAAAGACTCTTTCTATTTCCGTCTGTAACTGACGCTAAACTCGCTTAATCACGGATCGGTACTCTGGTACTCTTCACATATCTGCAACATTTTCCAAAACAGAATTTGTATCTCCCTGTGCATATAGGAGACGTGTTTAAACACATTTCCCATCTTCTAACACTTGGTACAATTTTCCACAGGTTCTACTGGCGAAGATCACAAACAAACAGTCTTACAAGGACAAGGTTTCAGGCTACTGCACCTACATCTCGACTTCGCAACAGAAGACACCCAAGGGTCTCGTGTACATTGACCAATGGGGTTCCCTGCGCATGGCTGCCAATGCGGCCTTCATCTGTGCTTCGGTAATCACCAATTATTATTTTAAACATTCGCTTTCTCGAACGTCCTCATACAGAGACTCGGAACAAGAGACTTATCCTGTGCACTATAGCAACAAGCGCATATCTCAGTGATACCAGAGAGTAACGCAAGGCACACGCTAATCTCTCTGCAAATGAATATGTAGAGCACTTTTCAACAATTATCCACTAGCTTCGAAATACTATGAGTATGCACGTAACAGTAAAATAGTTAAAGCTCTCCTTGTAACAGACCGTGAAGACCCATAGAGTTGTGGGACATAGACGCCAACATTTTCTAGACAATGGGCTCAGAGATGACGATGAGGTCGTCGGCCTTACGCGCTGACAGCTTTTATCCCCGCAGGGCTGGGTCGATCCCAGGGCCAGATTAAGACTGGAATGGCTAGGTCACTTTAAAAATAAAGTGACCTCATTGGAAGTCGAACCCGAGTCCTTCAGGCATAGTGCCTCAACCAAATACACTAACGTGTGCCCCCTTATACATAACAGTAAACAAAAAATAAATTAAATACCTTCAGTTACTATGCTCTATAAATGCCACAGTTGGTCGTGAAACTAAATTTTTGCGGTGTTTGAGCCTTGAGGAATCAGATGAACTACATGAGCCTTACATGGATGCGCTGATTTGTCACACGGGTCAGTTAGGGAAACACAAGACTGTTTATATACCCGACTGTTCTCGTACAGTGAAATTTGAGGAGCAAATGCACGCGGTGTGAATGCTAATTGAACTACGAACCTGCATTACAGGCTGCGGACCTAGGCATCAATGCTGACAGTAATCGACAGTTTGCCAAGAAGCAGCTGGACTATATACTGGGAGACGGTGGCCGCAGCTACGTCATAGGTTATGGCAATAATCCACCCACTCACCCTCATCACAGATCCAGGTATGTTTCACTTACAATCTTACATTTACTCGTCGAAACTCCACTCCCAATCACGCGTTGCCTTCGGAGACGAACCGAAAACCAACTATCATGGCTACATTTTCATTGTATGGTAGAAATTCATTCGCTTCAATTCATTGCACTAAACTCGGAATGCAAGCTATATTGCGCCATTTCCATTCCATCTGAACTATCACATCCTGGATTCCACAAGGCGCCTTTTAATTAGCGTATAAGACTCTGATCAGCTTTCGCTTTCCAGTCTAACATCCTTCTTCCGTACGTTCGCAACTACATTCTGCATGATTTCCTCAGCTGAGAAGTCCACCACAAACGTCGAACCAACCCCCCAAATCGAATCCATTTATTACAGACCTAGAGAATGGCGAAGAGATAACTCTGAAGAGCCCCTCATTCAGGAAAATAATGTACAATACCTGGTTAATCCAACTCCCTTCGATCTGAACATTTTCCCACGTTAGCTGTTCCGAAACATCCGCGCCATTCTACGAGTGTGTTCTCTTCATACGACAGGTCCAGTGTTTAGCCTAATATCATAACCGTGTCCACATATGAACCCAGTGTAAGATCCATGCATGCCTTCATTACAGCTCGTGCCCCGACGCACCGGCGGTATGTGACTGGAACACGTACAACAGCGCGAGTCCCAACTACCACGTGCTCACAGGTGCCTTGGTAGGTGGCCCAGACAGCAGCGACAACTACAAGGACGAGCGCAGTAACTACATCTCCAACGAGGTGGCCACTGATTACAACGCGGCCTTCACTTCACTTCTGGCATATTTCAGCAAGTAGAAACAGTGACCTGACACGCCACTTTCCCTGTCACTACCAGATCGAAGCGTATTCGAAGTGACAACAGAAATGTAATATACACAAGAGACGCTCAATAAAATGTTTGCCTGCATTTATGTGTAATGCATTTATATCCTGCTGTCAATACTAAATGAGGGGTCGATCTGAGTTTGTGCAGCTGTGTCTTCATAT